TTGACCGTCTGTCCCTTTCATTCCTTCCAGTTTGAGAAATACTGGTCTTTCAAAAGTTCATCATTTAAACTTGAAGTCAGTGCTGTTGAGAGGGAGGAGTTCGGAATGATCCAATAAAAACTTTTATTTCGGCTATCTTATTGCGCTATTTGTGGCTTCCAAGTATTAGTTTCCTGATGCCTATTGCTTTTTCCCGATCTCCGTACGAAACCGGAGATCTATGTACAGACAAAAAATTACAAATACCTAACGCATATGTGAACGTCTATGTAAAAGGGAACGTTAGTGTTGAAAAACTGGAGTCATATTAACCATAGCACGAATGATGCACTTTTATGCGCAGAAAAAGCTCAAAATATCTAGGTGCATCGGGGTAATTATTATGGTCTGGAGTTTACAGCATTGAAATCGTTGTTTTGAAAAACAAGCTATGACTTTAAATTTGATATCTTCATGGCTCAAAATCGTCGAATTTTAATATGAGAACTTAAATGGCACAAATATTTTTTAAACTAATCGCTACCTATATAATAGGATGCTAGAAGATATATTTCATCAAAAAATCAAGTGAGGAATTTTCTACCCTATTTTGCATGGAAAATTCTCTCAGAAGCACTGCGATTAGGCATGTATAATGAGAACTTGGATAATAAAAAATAACATGGGTTTTTTGCGTTTCTCCTCTACAGATTTCATAGCGCAAGTTCAGATGATACGCTCTAATTTTGAAATTTTCAACGTTGGCACCTCGTTCGAACTCGGCTAAATTAAAAGGTTATACTTCGGCTGCGCTTTGCACTGCGTTGCGGTTTTAGTGGTGCGCGTTGTGCGGCCTCGTATTAAAGCGTTGCCGCTTCTCGCAAACGAGGGAAAATATCAACCACGACCTGTTACGAGGGTAGGAAAGGTCAAAACGCCTTCAATTTGTTGTATGTGCAATACGCACATCATGTGAGAACGAATGCATTCAGGCGTTTTTTTGACGCGGTGACGTGTCCGATGGTGAAAACACTATCTAAAAAACTCTGGCTTTGATTATTTAATCTCTTGGAATAAATTTATTTTTATTTTTTCTAGTCCCAATTGAGACGGATCTCCAATTCTGTCATTCAAAAATGCAAGGTCTATTTAAAAAAGTGGGTTTATAATATTGTTTTTTAAAAAGTTGATGCATATCTTGCTAGAAGTTCACTTAGATGGAGTTGTATGCAGAGGAACAAACTTAAGTTTTGAACAAAACCGAGTAAGTAGTTGTTTTAAAATGGAATAGGTACATAAAAAATAGGCCGCTTGGCATGACAAAAAGTATATAAGCTCAAAAATCAACGCTGATACCTTTCATTGAAAAGTGAATCATTCATTGAGTCTCATAAAGTGGTATAACTTAAAAAATTTTCTCAATTCTCAGGTATGAAGTAACAGGGAGTCGGTTCGGGTCTAAAGAGCTTTTCCAAAAAATGAACAAATATTTTTCATTTCCCATCTATTTAGTATTCTGAGCCAGCTGGGTAGAAGGGCAATTCACACTACAGCCTTAGATTAAAGCCTGATCACCAAAAAATAATCCCTACCCTGGATCCTGGTGAGAGCTAATAGGCTCTCACCTAAAAATAATGACGATTTTTTTCTTGATTTGAATCGTATAAACGGTACCAAGTTTGCAACAACCGTCGTATCACGCACTTCGATTTCCAAGTACCTATCAATATAAATGAATAACAAAAAAAAACCGTCCTGGCTTTTATCCATGAAAAACTATGAGCCTAAAAATTACCTATAATTACGTGTGAAATAAAGTTTTCGAAAATTTCACAAAAAACCACCCTTATCGGAACGGAGCGGAAAGAAAGAGGAACAAAGAAAAAACCGATAAATACCAATAGCTATCATTTTTATTTCTCCTTTAAATAGTCTGCATCGATAAACCCTATCTTTATGGGCTGCGGGATTAGAGCAAACATTTCTCGACATAAACGCGCGGCGAAAAAGCAAAGCCCTTGCAAGTACGTCTTCTGGCATGTAAAGATTGATGCATCCATTTCCAGACAGGGAAAATATCCGGAGGAAAGCAAATACCGACGAGGAAATCAATCGTTAAAATAATACTCTGATGGGGAAGGAATCGGAAACGCTGGAAACAAGCCGAATGGCGAGGCTGTCTTAAAGGTCGATTAAGATGTGATACAACGTTACTTTCCCATCTAACTACCCCATTTCCCCGCTTCTCCATTTACCTCCTGATCATTTTCTGCGGATTTTCATCTTAGATTGACGTGCTGACAGTCGTGAAATTGATGAAAATGCATTCCAGGTCCGCAACTTTCCAGTTTCCCGACGGTTTCAAACAATTATCCAGTTGCAAGCTCTCCGCTTTCCCCCTTCTATCAATTGCGACTCTTTCTCAATTAGGCGCAATTATGCATAAAAAGGGTATTCAAGTTCGGCTCTTGCTCCAGGTGGACTTTTTATCGCATAGAATGGCGACCGATTATGGGTGCGATAATATTTTTCAAAACAAAGCTGGCGATTTCAAATCGGAAAAGGCACGTTTTTGCTGGCTCAGGACTACTTATAGTGCCATTATAATCTTACTTACATTTGTGGCATTACCTAAGTCTCTCTCCGTTTTAAAGAAATATCTGTAAAACATTTTAATTTTCTCGGAAATGTCTTAAGGACGTATGCTTTCCTGCGAGAACGGAATAAAGTATTATAGAAAAAGAAGTATTATAAAAAAAGAAAGAAGAAGAAAGAAAAGGTAGCATAGAAAAAAAGGAGAAAGAAGAAGAAAAAAAGAAAATAAAAAAAGTAGCATAGAAAAATAAGTAAAAAAAGAGAAGGATAGGAAATTAATATTCCTCATTTAGACGTATGATCGGCGTATCAAATAAACAAATTTCTTTCATTCATCGGGGGCACAAGGACCATATATTTTACCTCCCTTGGTATCTCAAGTATCTTTAGTAAAATTATTTGGTTCAAGAACAGAGCTAATTTTTATTTCATTTTCAAAGGAGAGAAAGCTTTAATGCGTAACCATTCTAATAATGGTTTCGATACAAGAGACACGCATCTACTCCTCATTTACAACGCCTCAGGACTCCACTACGCCACAGGGCTGCCGTTGCATGAAAATGAACGTGGAGACCTTCAAAAGAAGAGGGAGCGACAAAAATCCGAGTGAAATCCTCTGAACAGGATGGCAGCCAGCAGTTTATGAAAAAACACATGATTTCCGCGTGAAGTATTTCCAAAAATCTCCAAAATTTAATGGAATAAGTTTTTCAGAGTTTCGATTATGAGGCCTCCACTGAATAATCATCAAACATTTTCGAATATTACTTGAGGGAATGATTTTATTCATTCCTATCCTTCGTATCTCACTTACGAGAACAACAAGTAGAAATTCAGATTTTAATGAAAATGAATTGGGATTTTTGCGTCTCTAAGGGTTTCAGAGCGGGTTTTATGCCCTGAAATGAATATTTTGAACTATTCATGAATTTCACCGTCTTGTGAAATTTCATGAAATGTATTTGAGTCAGGCAAATGATCCTAGATTTTTTTTCTGTCAAAGCTTTAAGGTAACTGGACATAATAAAATAAAACGACCCTATTTTACACAGTGAGCTTTTAGGAAAAAAAAAAAAAACGCACAGTGTACGTAAAAAAGCTTTACGAAATACCAGCTTTTTAAATATATTTTAGCAGATGGATCCCTTCTTTTTAATGACTGGAATTAGTTTTTTTCCAATATTTTGTTTAAAACTTCGTTTTCTGTAATATGTCATTTTCCGAAGTTGGCACTTTTCCCAATTTGTTCCTACATTTTATGAAATGTAGAGGGTTATGTCGCTTTCATAGTACCAAATGCTTTGATCAATCGGGTGGTGCATTCGGCGGGGGAGGGGAGGATATGTAGCTCACATACTGAATGAGGTGTGAAAACGGAGGTATGGAATTTTTCCCCGAAAGTCGGACACTTTTCTATACAAGATATTTAAATATCTCTTGGAAATTCTGTAAACTTTTCCGAAGAAAGACTCCCTGAAATCCTCCTTTGCACTTGGGACATAGCCCAGACCCCTCCTGAAAAAGCGACGGCTAGATAACCCTCAGGTAATCGATCCAGCTACGTATACGATTTCTCGGTGGTTAAAAAATACGGGTGCGCAGTTCTATTTTTGATAATCTAGCATTTACGCTATTTCACCATTAAGTTTTTCTCTATTCTCAAAATTTAACGTTGCTTCCATTTCTCTTAATGACAATTTTGTGAATACGAGCTTTCTTCATCAGACGCTGCACTCTTTTATTACAACTTGTACAATGTAAATACAGTAGTCTCGATTATCCACGATTCTAGATTATCCGCGTTTTCAGACTATCCACGATTTTTTAGAGGTATTTTTATTTTCTCGCTCCCTTCTCGCGTAGGGAAAGTATTGTCATCGCCTAAGAAAAAAAAATCATCTTTTCTAGACGTTTTAAGGTCCCTGGAGTCAAAATAACCATACTTGAAAAAAATGTGTGTCCGTCCGTCAGGCGTCCCCCAGATCTATGTACAGCCGTGTCTCAGAATCTATCTATTCAATTTCATTCAAAATTTGCATGGAAGACCATATCATTGGTCTCCTTATGCACGTCAAACGATTTTGGGGTACGCTAAAATTTGGGGGAGGAGCTAGGGACCAGGGGCCAAAAATGATTTTTAGCAAAATCACACGGAAAGCTCACTTTGACGGACCGTAGATTTTGAGGCTTTAATTCTTTGAAAGTTGACACAAAGCACTACGTGGGTCATTAATTTAAGTTCCTAAAAAATCTTTGCACTATGAAGGGAAGCGGATCATATGGCGATGGCACTTTTTTTTTTTAAATCTCGAGCGATCGATCGCAAAAAAGTTCGAGGTCAAACTATGGAAGAATCGGGAAATCCCTGATGAGTGAAACCTATTTTAACACAGGTGAAACAAGGTGAATTATACGGGGTGACTTACTGGGTAGAGGTGGGAAGGTGCGAAGAGTACGACGAACTGGAGGACGAGGATCCAGATCCTGGGCTGGGCGAGCGGGCTCTGCATTTTGGGAAACCGCGGGTCGTGTCGTGAAAACGTGAGTCTCCTAACGGGAAAACTTTCGGCGACGACGAACGGTTGCGATGCGTTCTTCGATGTCGGTGTGAGCTCCGCTTGGTCCGCGCAGCGAGTGACGAGACCGCGTATTCGAGACAGGAGCGTTTTATACGCGGGCTACGGGGCTCCCNAGGGGGGGGGGCAGGGCGGCGGGGGGCCTAGCGCAACAGCTGCCCACCGAGTTTTTCGCGCTTTCTTCCTGTCGGCTTTCCTTCCCTTCCGCGGGGTGTAGTCGAGGATAGTGGCGTTAGTTTATCATTCCGGAGGCGTCGGCCAGCGTCCCTTGCGACACGCGATTCGCCAGGTTTTGCCCCTTCAATTTTTGCTCATACTTCCTCTGTTGCATTGTGGGTGAGGTTATCTCCCGTGCCCAGAGACAATATATTTTAGAGGCCCCGCGCTACGCGGTAAAAGTTATTTCCGGGAGCTAACCCCCGGATTCCCCGAATGATGACTCATGGCCGAGGCATTTAGCAGAGCTTATATGCCTTCAGAGTGCTTTCTGGCGCTCTGCGATACCCGATCGCCAAGGTACCTTGTCTTCCAGTGGCGTGGCGTGAAGGATCGATTATCGATATCTCGCCATTTGAAGCTATGGTAAAGAATCGATTACTGAGGTGTTCGCTGCGAACACCCTGATAATCGACTTTTTTTCATAGGTTTGAGTGGTGTATCAATCGATATATCGCAAAGCACGCCACGCCACTGTATGTCTTCTTACAGCCCCTCGGGGAGCTGGCTCTCCGTCATTTCATTTGAAACCCCCTGTCGGCGAAAGGGGGTTTCAAACGAAGGAGATGCCTAGTAAGAAGATGGCGACAGCCTGTCGCCATCTTTTTACTAGGCATCTCCTTCGTCTCCTCCTAGGAGGAACCCAATCGAGCATTTTCTTTGGTAGCCTGTATTCCATCATCCTATTAATATGACCATACCAGACAAGCTGTTGAGCTGTTTATCTCCTCATTTAATTGCATTTAAGTGATGCACTTATAAAAAAAGTCCTCTTGGTCTCCTCCCAGGAGAAATCTACTCAAGCATCCTTTACATAAGTTCAGCAGGACCTTTTTTTCATCCCCAGATGTCTCAGAGTAACCTACGATTTTGGTTGATCTTACCGGTTAAAAAAAAAACTCAGGGTAACCCAAAGCAACTGTAAATACGGACATTTTTGACTCAGAAGTGCGTGCCGAAATGCAAGAACAGCCTTTTATCAAATTAGTAATAAATATTATCACAAAGTATGAGGCGCCAAAGAATTTCTAAAAAGAAAGAAATAATTGTAACGGGATTTGTAAGCGGATGTAAAGGAAAAATCTACTCTTATTCAATGATCGCGATTTTAATAATACATGATTACTGCAGAAAAACTTTAGATTCGTGCGCTTGAACTATTTGTCGGCACCCCTCAAGTTTGATTGCTCCACTCGAACTTCTGAATGAAGTTGCTTGCTTTCTCTTAGTGCACAGAGGTTCCGGCGAAGCTCCGAACTGACCTTAGGTAAACTTCAGCTGCGAGATTCAACTCCCAGTTCCTTTGATCTGTCTCAATATCGTGTCGATTGAATGAAGTAAAAGTTTCCAGCTGCGATTTGATCTCATTGTGTTTTTTTCTCATCTATCTTTTTTGAGAGTTTCAGAAGGGTTTGTATGAAGAAAGAAGAAGAAAAAAAACTAAGTCAAATACGTTCTTCCTCTTGCAATTAGGTACGTTTTAATGGGTGCATATTTTTTCCGCATGGAAAAATTGGAAGCCCGCGTATGGTTTTATCGAGCGTGTACAGCACCCTATCAGCCTATTCCTGATTATTAAACTGCAATTAAAAAAAATGTGCAATGCGGCTCTGCAGATAACTCTCATCACGAAAACAATTGATTTCTTGTCGACTCGTGTAATATCCGGGTGGTTTTTCTCATCTGCCTCTCTTAATCCTCTTTGAAACTTCTTCGTCCGTACACGTATATGTCCCGCTAGGCTTATCAATGGTCTGTGTTCAATGATAAGCACTGGTATGTACTTAAATGAAAAGAATTGCAAAAATTTGATTTGCTCCTCGATCGACGTACATGACTGAATAAATATGAATGAGATGTCATTATCCAGCTCCTTAAGAAATTAACTTTAGTTTTGTAAAGAATACGATGAATTAATTTTCTAAGCTTTAAGTAAAGTCGCGTTATTCATATCACAGATAGAATCCTTAAAAATGTTAACAAATTAGTGTATTGCTATGTATCGCCCTATTATTGATTAAAATGACTGTAAGTCCGGCAAATCTGAGAGAAACAAATTCTATATATTAAGAAAAAACTAGTTGTACGTTTGAGGAAGACGTATTACCAGCTTTTAAATGGTGTATACTTAAATGGGTTTTAAATATTCAAGCAACCGGCCGTTCAAAAATTTCCTTTTTTAAGCTCCATTAAAAAAATATCCACCAGCCTTTTTATACGCACGTCGAGAGGTGTGGCAAAGTTCTCTGATTTGTTAATTAGAATCTGCGGAGGCTATTACAATGATAGTTGAAAGAAAAAAGAAATTCGGATTTGGAGCAATTTATATTATAATTTTGAAATTATAAGCAATTGGTAATCAATACATTAATTTTAATTCATTTTTGTTAATTTTCTTTAAAGCTAAATCCAATAAAAGTTCCCAGTTCAAGTGTTTTGTGTTAATTGGACGATCTACTTGGTTCCTCTCCTTTACACCCTTGATAACCGGTAAGGTCACGCAAATAAAATGTAAATACCAGGATTGATGGTTTGCATTTTCAGCTTATCGATGGACTAGCTTCTTTTTTTCTTTAATTTTAAATTTCAAAACTAGGAGGAAAATTTTCTGGGGTGACACGAAAAATAAAAAACGCAATTGTTGAACGACGAGTGATTTGAAAATTTTCATAAAATATCCCTTTCAAAGTTGGAAGTAATGACTATTCAAGGGCAGACTGTATTTTTGCTGTTGTTTTTTCTGTTCGAGAAAATAAAAGAAGGACAAATAACTCTTGTCTGTCCCCCTTGTTATGGGGGAAAATATGTACTTCTCTCTACGTACTAGTTAAGACAGGGAATCAGGCATGTGGTATCATAAATCATGGAACACTTTAATAATTGGAACGGCTTGCTCCGTTATCATTTCTTGCTCCCGTCACTGGTATGTGAGCCAATGGGTGTCTGGGGTTGAGTGCTTGTTTGTTTATTCGTATCAAGGTTGACAAGTCAGACCGAGGCAGAAGGTGCGTTATAAAGGCCTTCATGGTTGAAGATACCGCTAGGAGCTTTGTAAGTGGGTGTCATTTTAGAGTCTGATCCAGAATGGAAGGATTCAATATTGTTCCCGTAAACGAGAAAGCTGCGGGGAATACTACCGGTGGTGGTTTTACTGTTTTTAGCACGAAGCACGTGGTCGGCCAAGAAATATTGATGAAAAATTATCGATGACATGAGCCGCGGCCCATGGCGGCAAATTATGCGATTCTTTTAAACTTAGATTAAAAAAAAAAAAAAAAAAAANTTTCAAAAAAAAAAAAAAAAAAAAAAAAAAAAAAAAATTCAGAAAAATAAACGAGAAAAGGCGACAAAATCTCTCAAATATAGTAATTTCTAAATGTGCCGTCTTTCTTTGACACAAGGACCAGCACCGTTAATTGTTCGAGTTAAGATAGAAACCAAACACGCAATTTGGCCTGGGGCAGAGAGCAATGATGACGAGGACTTGAGATGGCTAGAAGCCCTCGGCGCGGCGGTCGGCATGAAACGCATATTAGCGCCTAAAAGACTACGTGAATACTTCACGCATTGCGTCAAACACAGTGGGGTCGTCGGCGCGGCAGCGGCGGAAGCTAAAATTATTAAACCACACTGGTGTTTCTTCTTTCACAATCGTTTCGTTAATTTCTTATCAATGGAGGGCCTTGACCACACAGAGGTAGGTTTGCGGAACTTGACTATCGCTCAAAGTCCCGCGAACTTTTGCTAGTGTAGACAGAGCTTTCACAAAAAATGTACCCAGCACTAATGAACGCGTCTTATGCCCTCCCTCCCTGCGGCACGTCCGTTTGATGGTTCTTATTAATTTTTCAAAACGAATTAGAAGGGGGCGGCAAAATATATGTACAGACGGCCCATGAGCGGCAAGTAGGTGAATCCGGCCCTGTATGGGAATATTTGAGGACAAGCAGGAAACACTGGAAAAAAAACACATTGGATCTAGAGTCCAGACTCTTGAAAACATTGACAAGAAAAAATACTCTTGATTCAATCAGATTTTTGCTTAAATCAAGAAGAAATCCGCTCAAATTAAGAGGCTTGGTTCTTGATTTAAGCAAAAATCCGATTGAATCAAGAGTATTGTTTCTTGTCGATGTTTTAAGAGTCTGGACTCTAGATCCAATGTGTTTTTTTTTTTTTCAGTAAATATTCCCTGCTAGTGGCTGAAAAATCATGAACATTGCACCGGTAGATCTCTACAGATTTGTAAAAGTGAAGTGAAAGTCAGCTCAGAATCGAGGTAGTGTGTTTCAAGGTTCGCCATGGACAAGTTGATCACAAGGAGCACGAGAGGAGCACAAGGCAAGCCCTGACAGATCCACTCGCATGTCGGAGTTAAGTCTAATTTCCTCTCGGTGTGTTAGTTTCCGTTTCCGCCAATTGCGTTAGAGACAATAAAAGGCGGAAGGGGAGGGCCTCGGTGAGAATGGTGTTTTGCGATCAAAAGAGGGCTTTTACGAGTTCCGATGAGCCTTTAATCGGAGAAAAACAACTGGGGGTAATCTACTCGAATTACCGAGTCCGCCGTGCAACCCACTTCGCGAATTCTCACTTGTCTGCCTCTCCCTTCCCAATTGCTGCCTCTTTGCTCCGACAAATTGTCGCGACAAACGCTACATTTGCAGTGACATTTCGATAGTATCCCCGAAAATTGCTCCTTCTCAACCCTTAGAGTACATTGGCAGATCCAGCAAATTGGCAACATTGTCTCTCTTCCATTTAAACCTATGGAAATGTATCGATACTTGGAGGGGCCAAGTGCTCTGACAAGAATCGATTATTTGGCATACGTTTAAATGGAGGAAATCCGGTGTTACCAAATTGCCGGATATGTCTCTG